AATCTACCATAGATAACAATTTTCTTTTCAGCAATCACAATGTTTTACACTATTATACATACTGTTTGTAAATATAGTTTTTAACTTTTTAGTACATCCTTACAGAAAATAACATCCTGGGAATTGTTACTATCGCTCAGCTATAGTTGTTAATAATAAAGCATGCCTTTTTACTGTCCTACTATATGGAGCTAATGGATAATCTTTATTTTAAATTGCAAACAATTGCATTAAGACACAAAATTTTCATGAAAAGAACAAGCTAGAAAAGTAGAAAAATTAGGTGATGCTTAAAATCAGCCAAGAAAGGTGTTGTGTAACGCCATAAGACTTGCATGTTTTATATATTCACCACCATATTTTATCGCACTTAATACATTGTCAAGTTATGTTGTTTGGTTATTCAAATGCTGGTCTGCTGCTACCTCCTATTTAATTTTGCAATTTTTCCCAGTCTAACTCTTGAGGTTTAGAAACCAGGAACAGATGGATTTAAATTTGTTGAGTAGCATAGATGGTCTATGCAATCAAACCTTAAATTCTTCCAAATATCTATTATGTTGTCACCCCTTTCAGCAGGTGCATTAACTTGCAAAAACAGCACACCTTTCTGCAGCTTTCCTTGATATATTTCTGTAATTGGCATAGATTAAGTTAATATTTTTGGCTTTTCTAGAAATAGACCTCAAAATTCCTTCTTTATACAAAAAAAAAAAAATGGTTGTGGAAACTAACTTTTGAGTTTTGGGTCTTTTAAATTTTTTTATCAATGAAGAACCTGAGTGTTCCATATGGGCCATTGTTTGTTTGTTTGTTTGTTTGTTTGGCTCATAGTGATCTAACCCTATTTTATGAACAGTGACAGCTCATTCAAAAAGTATGACAAGATTGCTGAATATTCTGCAAGATCTATTTGAATGACCATTCTATATAGTTTCTGGTCAGTATACAAACATTTTGACACCCACTTGGCTGAGAGCTTCTGCAAGTATAATTGTTCATATGTTATAAATTTAACACATTTCCTAGAGCCTCAGCAAATATTTTGGCTGAGATTTGTTGAGTGGCCAATATTAGATCATGAATGTGATCCACAATTGAAGGCCCAGGGATTGCTGCATTTTGGATCTCAAAATCTTCATGCTAGAAATTAGACTACTTCACAAGTACTTGTGTTTCATTGGAATGTTCTTCTAGAGAAAATAATGATGGTCCAGAGATCAAAAACGCTAAAATTGCACACATTTCCATTGACGTGGTTCAGACAATGGTCTGAAATAGAAAAAAGCACTAGGAGCTTGTAAATTGTTATTTACAATATATAAGAACCCTATTCTCGGCTGCAGTGACAAAATAGCTTGGTTTTGGAAACTGGTTCAAGCCCAAAACTGCACAATAAAATACAAGATTTGTCAATCATAGAAACTTATTTGGATAGTACAATATTCCATATGCTTGGATAAAATATCCTATTTTGCATGTTGATATGGGCTCCTTAATATTCTATAGCCTTTGTTAGTATTTTATTTATTGATTTTTATCTTTTATGCTTTTCAAACTTTGCTTGCAGCAATTTTTATTGCTCCCAGATACATTTGCTTGTGTCTGTCTGTCATCTATATATATGCACCCATTATTATTGAATGGGGACCACCTGTGTTCTCTCTTGAATTAATATGTAGAGAGCTTGGGGACTTTTCACTTTGAAGAGATCTATACTTTTGATTACTTGCAGTATTTGCCCAATACCTTATTCTGCTGCCTTCTAAATTATTTGAACTATTCCATAAAAAAATCCAACCTCTTACTTACCAATGTACTTCTTCGCCTAACTTTAATGTCCCAAAGACAAACATTTAATAGCCTGGCTGCTTTCATGTCTTTGCCTAATGTTTTTAATATTCATCTTTCTTCTTTATTTACATTTGGAATATCAACTTATTAATAGATTTTTGTTGCTTCTCAATCCTTGCTTATCATTAATTTTTCTCAAAACTCCTCTACTTGCCAATGTTTTTAGTTTTTTTTTATTGTTTTATGATCTCTTCAGCTTTATCACAGTTTCCAACAATCAAAACTTTTTTATTTTTACATTATATCTATGACTTGTGATCTTTTATATATCTGAAATTAAAAATTTCCAGTAACTATACTTTGTGTGCATGCAGCTCTTAAAATTGCATAATGAAACAATCAAACAAAATTCTTGTAGATATAGTGATTTTTAATTGTGAGAAAAGTTATAAATATTTTTTTTATTTATAGCTAGGGTTCTCTTACAAACCTTTTTGTAAATATTTTTGCTAGGATATTCTTGTGTTTATTCAGAAAACATTTGTTTTAATTAATCCTATTTCAATGACTTTTAGTGTTAAAGTAAACCTGAAAATATGTGCTTAAAAAGTTCCCAGAACAATACTTTGGTATTACTTCAATGTTATTTAACCACTCTTAACACTGACCTAGTTTGTATAACTGTTAGTTTTGCTACTTTATTCCTGTCCATTTCACAAAGGTTTTAGTTAAGTATTTAAGAGGATATTTTTTTTATTTTTTTTTAATGTCAAAAAAAAAAAAAAAATAGGGCATAGAGAACTTGACAAAACAATGATACTAAATTTATCTTATCTTTATAGCAACAAAGTTATGATTATTCAAACTTTAGTTGTCCATCTCATGTGCTATTGAATGAAAAGCCAATTTCAAGTGTGTCACTGAAGATACAGGATTCAGACTAAAAAAAAATCATAAATGTAATGCTATATAGGTAAACTTGAAGTAAAAGAAATACAATATTAATGGAATCCATAATTAATAGATCAGACTAACCTAAACATTGAAAAAAAAATGAACAGTCAAGTGCCCTTTTGTGTTATGTCTCAACTATTAGTTGAGACATTACACAAAAGGGCACTTTTGACTGTTCATTCCTTGCAACTTCTATAAATCTTAGCACAACAAAGATGAAGCTTTTTTTTTTTTTTTTTTCCTCTTTAGTAGTACTTCCATTTCGTAATTTAACAGACAAAAGTATACCATTCTGAACTTGCCATTAAAAAAAGTATCCATCCGAGGTACATGCCTCAAAATTTGAAACTACTAATTTATGGACAAGGGGTTCAGCAAAACGGTTATTTCTATGTAATATGAGTAATATGAATACCTTTTCACACCTAATTTGTGAAATTATGTAATTTTTAACTTGTCAAAAAGGGACAGTAATAACTGCAAAACTTGGAAATTTGTCATATCATTGGCCAATCCTTCAAACAAATGTTAATTGTAAAGCTTTAAACTCAGTTATTTTCAAACAAAAACACTGAAATGATTTAAAAATACATTTATTGGATCTGATGAAAAAGCCTTTCTGGGCAGTTGGAATGATACTCTTCTAATGATGATTTACAGTCTGAATTTGTTTATAAGTCTCTGATATAGACATTATTCCTGGAACACTCCATATCCTATCATTGAAAGTGGTATTATATCAAAGTCCCATCTAAAGATGATGGCTGATGCCACTTGTGCAATATCATCCAACAAAAGTCATCAAAAATAATAAATTCTACCTTTTGTTAGGACTAAAATTTTGATTATAGCACTTGAGAGATCTAATGTTAATGACTTAGTCAATTTAAACGTTGGAGTAATAGTGTACTTCAACCCATTGGCCTTGGTACTCATAACTGAAGGTCATTTGTTGTTATTCTTCTACATAACAAATGCTAGAATTGTTTGAATACGCGGACTCACTGAGTGCCTTTTCTTCCTTCCTTTGTTCCTTTACAGGTAAAGATGAAGTTTCATTATGCCAGTGAAATGTCTATTCTCTTCAGCACAGTTTTTTACTTTATGAACATACATTGCAATGAATTTGGGTCTTCTTTGGCCTGCTTCTCCCACTTAGAAAATTAGTTCTCAAGGTGTGTTTCATCCACTGAAAAGATAATTTTATTAATCACCCAGGTAGGAGTTTCTGGTGTGGGAAAACAATACATGAAAAAAAAAAAAAAAACTGATACTTGTGTTTTTTTTTTTTTTTTTTTTTTTTTTTTTTTAAGATGGAACTATTTTCATGTGTAGAGAGACACAACTCAAAGCACATTTGAAAATGCAAGATGTGCTCTCCATCATTGAAAGTGACATAATTTAAAGAGATATGAAATAAAAACTAATCATCACACATGAAAGAATTTAATCTTTATAAAGAGGAAACATAGACTAATTTTAGCAGGATAACCTCAGAAACAAAAGAGATATCAGCAGTTGAAATAAAAAGGGATGTCATTATTTTGTCATGTGTTTGCACTGTAAACTAGGAGACTTTGGGATACCTAATATTAGCAACTCTCAAATTGCAAGAAATCACTTTTTTAGACACCAACTTTAAGTTGGCTTACAGCTGTTGCTATTGTCTTTTAATTATTCCATTTACTGGGAAGAGGAGCGGTGCAATTAGTTATCACTGCTCACTTTTCCACTTTAAAACTATTATAAATTGATGACTTGATTCCATTAAGGGGTCCTATATTTTCCTTATATCTAAAATAATAATGCTTGTGATTTTGAAAATTTACAACTAAACAAAAAACAATAGAAACAATATCGTCATATGGCTTGATTACAAAAATTGAGATGTCAGTTGCAAGAATTAGTTTTTGTTTTCACTCCTCTTCAAAAAGCATTCAGGCGGTATGAATTTTTTATTTTTTTTCATTTTTTTTTATTTTTTATTTTTTTTTTTTAACTCTTCCAAAAAGAAGTCCATACTTATATTCCTAGTGTTTCTGTATGTTGGAAAATATATACACACCCATACTAGGGATGGTAAAAATCTGACAGAGCTTTTCAACGCCCCCTTCAGATAATCTCGCATTGCAATAACTTTGAAGTATTATTAGTTTTTGAAAAGTTATTTATCCAAATTAAAGTTACTGATGACTTAATAAAATTGGTGATTTTCTTTCTTTTCTTTTTTTTTTTCTTTTTTTTTTTTTTAGTTCTTTGGTGAATTTGGCCATACATTTATGGAGTTTGTGACCAACAGCGGAGACTTCTGCCAGGCGCAACACGTGTAATAATAGTGGTGTGTTAGTCTAATCTGGTTTATCTGAGGTGGAGACAAGTGAACCTAGAAACAACCCACGACTGTCTTGACTCTGCAGAGCCTTCCATTAACTGAAGTTTGCTGCTGTAGCAACTGAAGTGTAAGGGTTTTTGGATGGCGATAATTTGTGCTTTTAACCAATTCATTTTTCTCCCTTATTGGAAATCTCCAGTAGATGTTCAACTGGACAGTGGCAGGATTGGGCGACAACCCGACTGTTGATCCTTGGTATTAGTAAGTGTACAGATACTGACACCTTTAGCAGGAAGCTATCTGCTGATCAGACATTTAATTTCCATTATTGTAAAGTAAATTCATACATTATATACATACATCAACTAAAAGTTCATCATGAGAGCCATACGATCCACCAAGCTTGAACCTGCTGAAATTTCTCATAAACACATGAGATTTCTTATAATGGACCGGCCAACTGATGGAACACTGGATAAATTCATTGAGGTAAGTTTGTATGAAAATGTCATGTATATGAAGAAGGTAGCTGTTTAATAGGTACTAGTATGAGATCGCTGGAAAATGAGTATAGCATAAGTCTTAAACTTGATGAAAACAAAATTATATCGTCAAAATGTTTGCTACTATTAAGAGAAAAGAACAAAGTAATTTTTAATTATTTTTTTAAAATTCTAATTATTTTTTTTTTAATTTTCTTTATTAGAACATTCTAACTTTTGATTGAAAACCTTTTTCTCTAACAGCAATTTTTTTTGTGCATTTTTTTATGACAGACATTAATTTTGAAAATCTTGCAAAAATAAAAATAATTGTCAGATTTTAATGAAACTTCCAGAAACTATTAACACATGATGGGATTTTTTTTTTTTTTTAAGTCATGGTAAATATATATATATATATATATATATATATAGTTGACACCCCTTTACCTTAAAATCGACTCTGAATTGTAACATACAAAACTCAATAAAACAAAGAAATTATTTAATTTTAAAAGTTCCTTTTACTTGTTTTTAGGAATATGGGTAATATTGTCTGAAAGCAAAAAACGTTTTCGATGAAAAAATAAATTTTTACAATTATTTATTTCTTTTTTTTATATTATATATATATATATATATATATATATATATATATATATATATATATATATATTAAAGTTTCTAAATATTCTAAAATTAATGAAAATGGTATACAGTTCAGATGATGTTATTGAATAGATATATATCATTACAGATTATAAATTGTAAAGCTGGGTACAATCAGCAAACCCCAAATAGATAAAAATCTAATATATGTTTTTAGGGTTCATGGAACAGCTGTAATTCAAATATATGGAAGACCGCAAGCATCATGAACAGAGAAAAAAATGTATAAAAAAAATTGTATATTTCAAATAAGGATACCTACAAAGTATTATATTTCTTATGAAATTTATATGGTCTTATTTTTATATTACCTCAGTTATATTTTTCCATGAATGAAATATCAAAATTAATAAATTGAGTGGAAATACAAATAATGCTGTAAAATGTAATAAATATATATTAAATTATGTACACTTAACCTTTTAAAAAAAAAAGGTACCTAATTAATTTTATGTACCTTTCTTATGAAATTTTATCTCACTCTCAGCAGTCTTAGTTTAAAAATTTTCCTTGAAAATAATGATGTAAATAAGTTGGTTGAATAAAAAGTTAAATTATATCACTTTTGTACGATAACTTTCCTTCAGTAAGCTGTCAATACGTGCTGAAAGCATCAATCATCGCATAGTTGCACATTGCTGCTGTTAAGACCCACTCTCTTGTTTTTAAAATACATTTTTTCTGCACAAAGAAAGAAATGTTTGTTTTAAAATATATTAAATAAACTTTAACATTTCTAATTTTGTTAAAATAAATTTTTAAAAAAGTAGTATTGATTTTTGACAATTTTAAACAGAAAAATTAACTTTTCTTCACAAAATTGAAAAAAATGGCTGACAATCGATTTTTTTTTTTTTTTTTTTTTTTTTTTTTTTTGAAAAAAAAAACGATTTTAAGCAACAATTTTGGACGTGCTAGGAATGATCAAAAAATATAATCAAAAAAATACTTTGATCTTTCTTCTTTATAATAACATGAACATTTAGACAATAAAAAATTTTAAGGCTGTTTTTAGGCTATGCACATTTTTCCAGCAATCTTACGCCAGTGCCTACTGTTGAAGCATTGCATGTCTGAACTCCATTTTAATAAATTAAAAAAAAAAAAATCCAATGTTGAAAAGGTTGGTTTAGAAATGAGATCTAGTTAAAATGAGTACTTCAGTTATGACTATAGCAAACCTTTATAACAATTTTAATATTATCTCCATTCATATTTCACATTGGTGTATGCTAATTATATAATAATTGGTTAAACATGTTTATATAACTGGATTTAGCATTTTGGTTAACTGAGCATCCTTTTAATTGAGAATGTGAAAATAATTACAACTGTCTGGTAGAATGAAGAAGATAGTAGCCACTTTGGATTGTAGTTTAAATTGTTTACATTTGTTTTGATCATAATATTGCAAGACTTAATATTTTCTTGTAGATTGTCAATTTTATGAGCAACTTATTTTTTGATGTATCATGGAAGTGATTTATCTTGGAAAAAATGAACTATTTGTAAATGTTAGCTTATTTTTTTATTTCTATAGTAAATTGATACAAAGGCATTTATTTTATTCATGAGCTTCAGATTTGGTTATTTTTAGTGTTTACATTTTAATTTCTATCTCCAATTGATGGTGTGCTTGTTTATCATTGATCAAGGTCACTGATTTCTAAAGGAAAGTTCATAAAATTTGTAATGCAAAAAATAGTCCTGAATTTACTCAAATTAGTCATAAAATTTGGCATGAATAAATCTGATTAATCTGATAAGATTTGGTTAATTTTATTAATTCTGTATATAAAACCTACAGTTGAAAAGCAGTTTATATAGCAAAGTACTGCTTACTGCTACAATTTATTAATTTAAGTCAACTGGCTAATGCAGTGTTATTGGTAGCACATTGGTAGTCTACTTGTTAGTAGTAGCTTTTCTAAATGATGACATTTACTGTCTGTCTTGTTGCTGTATGACTGGCTCCACTTTATTTTCATAGTTGTGAGTAAAATAAGTCTTAAATGTTTCTCAAGTTGCTAGATAACAAGTTACTTGAATTTTTTGAAGTAAAAGCAGTTCTTTATTTTTTATTAAAACAATTTTATTTTTACTAACAGAATCTTACATTTTCTTGTAGGTTTAAGGCTGATTTTGCATGTGCTTGCTTTCCCTAAAAAATTTTCTTGTAGAAGAATTCATTTTGTATATTATTAAAACAGGAACTGAAAACTCGTGGTGCCAAAGATGTTGTTAGGGTGTGTGAACCAACTTATCCAACAGAGAAATTACATGCAGAAGGAATCAGGGTTTATGTAAGTAAATATATGGATTTATGATCATAACCTTCATTTTGTTAACCTATGCCTAGATCTTTAGGTTAGGAATGAAAATATTTTCTTTCATTGTTGATAATCTATTTAAAAACAATGCTTCTTTCCAAAGAGCAAATGACATACCTCATACTAATTATACCAATGACTAGATATTTGATTGCAATCATAAATTTTTTAATATCATTTTCCAAATTTAAGCTTATGGTGGTATTTATTTTTTCACCAAACAATAGATATCTGCCATGTGTTTTCAAAGAATTATTTAACTATAAAATCATGATTAATAATAATATTACCATTTCTATAGGAGGTGATGACGTTTTTGCAAAGCATTTGGCTTTTTGTTTGAGTCTTTAAATATATTTCTTCCATTGTTGTACTATGCTCTTTCTTGGAGTTTTTTCACCTTTAGCTTTGTAAACATCCTTAAACAGTTCACTATTGTTATAAAGATGCTCTCCTGACATTGCCAGTACTAGTGAGAAAACAATTTCCATGCACTAGTGATGTTAAGTTACCTTAAATCGTTTTCATACAAATAGCTAACCTTGTCTAAAGATTCTTCTATTTGTTATTGCATCTTTATTTTGATGTTTTATTGGTTGAAATCTGAGCTGGATTTTGTCAAAATATGAAGATCAAGCGTTTTTTGTTTTTGTTAATAACAGCAGAAGATTCTTTATATTAGCAAAACTTAATTTCCTCCTTTATAAATACAGTGTTATATGACAATTTAGTTATTTTTAATGATTAAACTTTATTATTTTCTTACATGGAATTCTGTGTAATTATAATGTATCCCACTCAAATCATTTGTGATAAAGTAAAGAGAAAAATTATACTTTAAGGGCATAGAGGACAGTTTTTGTGTGTTTATATAAATATGTGCACATACTTAATTATGTAAATGTAGGCTGAACTGATTTCTTTTGAAAAGTTTAATTCATGCACAGGATTCACTTTTTAAAAAAAAAAATATTAATTATTTTAGAAAATTAATTATTTCCATTATTTATAAGGTGTTTTCTTGTGTCTGTCTCTTTAGGACTGGAAATTTGATGATGGAAGCCATCCTCCAATGGATGTTATTGATGATTGGTTAAATCTGCTAAAGGCTCGTTTCAGAGATGATCCTGGCTGCTGTGTTGCTGTACATTGTGTTGCTGGACTTGGGAGGTCTCTTTAAATATTTTCTTTGTTTATATTTACATTTTGTTGCTTCATCAACCTGTATTGGAATCATTTTTTAAATTCAAATATCATACATTTCACCAGAGTACAACACTTTTTTTTTTTTTTTTTTTTTTTTCATATTTCAGTTTTATAAAAGTTGAAAATAAATATCCAAATATTGTAGTAAGATTCATTAGGTGATTAAAAATTTAATTTGGGTTTTGTTGGAAAGATATTAGTGTCAATGGTTTGATCAATTTCGATTTAACTGTTGTCTTTTGTATAAGGATGCTTGAGATTTCATGCTGAAGTGTTCCTTCCATCTGGCATTGGTGATCGTCACATCAAGATGTTTGAGAATAATCAATGTTATATGATTCAAGAGAGCCAAGATATTTAAAATATCCAAACAAGGCTTTGAAAATAATTTGTACAGCTTGGTTATAATTTATTTGTGACACATGAGAATATTGTACTTAAAAGAAATTGTGAAAAGCAATGACTTTGAGGCAATTTGGGATGTAAGAAAATTGTGCTGCAACTGGAATGAACCAACACTAAACATGCAAAAAAAAAAAAGAAAGTGAGACTGTATATTGTAAGAATGGAAGGGAATCCTCTAAATTGAGTTTCTTCCAAAGAACTAAATGATTGATTTACATAAATATTCTTCCCAATTAAACCAACTGAAAGAATTAATCGACAAAATTAGTTAATAGAAATGGCATATTACAAAAGAATAACACTAAAGTGCTTGTATTATTACAGCTTGATTTGGTGGTTTTTGAAGGGACAAATATTGCATATTCAGATCACCATTCATTCCAGTCTTTACGGAATTGTCTTGATGAAAAAAAAGCAAGAAAGAAATGTTCTGTAGTTTTGATACTTTTATAAATTTCCATTTATTTAATCATTGATTTCCATGTCTTTGTTATAAGTATCTCTCTTTATGATTCTAAAGTATATTTACTCTTTCCAAACTGAATTTATTTCTAAATTTATTCACTTTTCACATCTTACACAGTAATGATGGATTATTGCTGAATAGGAAAGGAAAAAATAAAGTAACTACACATGGTCAAAGGACTGGTTTCAAGTCTTCAAAGGTTGGAGGTTGAATCTTTTTTTAAAAAAAGCCCTGTAGAAACTTCTTACTTTAACTCCCAGCAAGGTGGGTAAACTACCATCTGCCTGTCTCTGGTAGTTATAATTAAAAAAAAAAATAGACATGGAAAGAAATAAAATAAATGATGGCACCATCAATAAGTCTTGAACAAAGTGAATTCTCAAAGAATTAAGCCACATGAAACAAAAGCAGGCTAGTTGTTACACACACACACACACACACACACACACAATACTACTTTTCTCTATATTTTCTATTTCACCATATTCTATGAATTTTTTGTGGATTTTTTTTTTTCCCTGTCAATGCAGATGTAAACATATACGCATATACAATAATTGTCTAATGGGCCCAACTTATTAGTATTTTCATTTAGATCTAAATTCATTTTTCCTTTACAGTTGTGTGAAGTAACCAATCTTACAAACTTGGTTAGGGAATCTGTTTTCAATACTCTAATTCCTGTTCATGTAAACAAATCCAATACATATTTATAATTTTTTTTATCTTTGAGGTGAAAACTTTTCATACAAGTAAATTTGATCACATCAATTTCAATACAGGTTTTGTTTATAGCCTTCATTGCTTTTTCTTTTAAGTGTCTTTGTATTGCAATCCCAAAATCCATGGTTTGTGAAGGTCCTGGAGAAACACAGTAATAGCCCAAAAGCTTCTTGAAAAGTCCTGGAATTTTCTAAATTGGACTGTCCACACATTCCTTTTCTCAATTCACAAGAGTCAAAATGACAAATCCCAGAAATCTGACTTTTTTTTTTTTTTATAAGCTTGAATTGTCCTCCAAGAAAAATGTTTTTGTTTTTTTTTTTTAGCCTCAGTAATATTTAACAATTATTGTGAACAGGTTTATTTCCTTGACTAGAGCGAGTTCGCGACATCGTTACTTCTGTATTTTCTCATCTAGGTGACATGAAAGAGAGGGGAAAAGTATATGAATTTGTCTTCTGCAAGCTGCTACTCTCACTCAACAAGAGGAAAAGCGGAGATAAAAGGCATCAGAGACAAATAAACATCTCCATCAAAGAAAAATCAATTTACACTCATTGAATTTGTGGTTGAAAGGAAAATAATAAATTATTTTGCAGTAAAAATTTATTAGTGTTTTTCAAAATTTGAACAAGAAATTTTATTCACATGCCAATTTCAAAAGTTAAGTCCTTTTGATCTCCAGTCAGTGCTGGGTGAGTTCATGCTGGAAAAATAAAGATACTTTGCGCGTGTTCATGTCGTGTATCTGTGTGTAAACTAAGCTCATCTAAATTGTTGCCAAAAGTAACGTTTGGGAATCAAATTTGACTCATGTAAACAGGAAGGATTAGAAAATTAGTCTTTGAAAAAAATAAGAATGTTATTTTTAAAGTTTGCAGGCTAATAATGCTCTGTATCTTTTAGCTTTTGTTGTGTGAAAAAAAAATGATGAAATATATTAAAGCTCATTTGGCTTTTATTTAGGTACCTCCACTTTTTCACTGAAGAAAAAAAAATGGCATAGCATGATGAAAGAAGGACCCAAACTTGATAGAAACAAAGTTTTAGAGGGGAGACCAAAATTTTTTTTTTTTTAATACTTTCTAGCACATTTGAAATTTTGGTTAAATAAATTTATCTACTTCTAATGCTTGGCTTTATATTAAAAGTTCAATCTCAATTTAACAAAAAAAAAAACACTGAAAACACAAAGATCCCTCTACAGTGCTGTCTAACATGAAGAATGGCATTTAATTCCAGTGAAACTGTCGATTTTCTTTTTTTACATAGATCTGTGGGACCCTGGAAATTTTTGCTGTTTGAATCTGCATGTACATTTTGGTTGTTGTGCTTTCTGGCCTTTTTCAGGTGTCAGCTCTAAGCCTATTGAGGAGTTTGTCACTGACTAACATTTGCACCGATTCTTATCTTCTAATGTTGTTCTTCTTATCTTGGCTTCATTCTACAAGAGTTGATGATCATCATTGCTAGATTTTGATGTCTCTCTCTCTCTCTCTCTCTCTCTCTCTGGACAACTGCTTTTCAATGTTCCTCTACCTTTATTCTCCTTTGTATTCCTTGCTATGTGGAATGGAATGCACACAGTTCGTGATCATGCCTTCTTAGGTGTGAGAGCTTGGTTCAGGAGAGATATCGCCAAAGGATCGAACAGTTTTTAATAATATCCTAACATAAACAGCAATTTTTTTTTTTTTTTTTTTTTTTTTTTTTACAAATTCAAATGTGCCCCTTACATGTATAGTAAACAGACCCTGGCATATTATATTGCTATCCTTTTCTCTTCTGCTCACCACTGCAAAAAAGTTGTGTGTGTCAAGTTGGACAGCCACCAGTGAAGATCAGTGTCCACCCATTGCCAAATAATGCCTGCCACAGCTAGTCAAATGCCCAGTTTGCCAACCACTGGTGTAGACAATAGGCAATTGATTTTTTTTATTTGATTTTTTTTATTTATTTATTTATTTATTTTTTTTTTTTTTTTTTTTTTTTATTATATATAATGTCTAGATGGTGGAAATATAGTTCAGTTAATTTTATTTTGGTGAATGTTGGCTAATGATAGGTCTTCAGCCAATCCTCTGTGCATCTAGAGGAGACAGACAGTTGTTCCCCCACCTTTTTTTTTTTTTTTTTTTTTCTGCTGTTGGTAAACTGTATAAAAGGTTTTATTGTCCAGCAATATTTGAACAACTTCCTGTATGAAGGTGTCATCTACATATCTAAGTTACATATTTTTTTCCAACTTGCACATATTGATGTATGTTTTTTTTTTGTTTTGTTTTTTGAAAATTATTTATAACCGCTGTTTTCTTACTCAAAAGATAGCTTTTTCTTTGCAAAATTTATTAGTATTTCTCTTTACATTAAAATGACTCTTGTGGGATTATCTCAAATGAAAATGCTTATCAACATTCATTTGAAACTAATCTCAAATTCATCATCAGCTTAATACATTTAACCATCATATTTTAAAATTTTTAGTTAGTATATATAAATTTGATGGAATGTATTGTCTAATACAAAAATCAAGTCTCATACTTAACAAATTACTACTTCTTTTCTGTTTCAATCCACTTTTGTTGATTGGATAAAAATTTCTAAAAATATTTTGATGTGTTCACTTATATCAAACTTTTTTCTCCCAGGGCTCCTGTACTTGTGGCTCTGGCATTGACTGAATGTGGCATGAAATATGAAGATGCTGTAGAGCTGATCAGAAAGTAAGTTAATATACTTGTATGTAGTTAAACTGAAAGTGGGGAAATTACTACTTCATCATTAATTATTGCCAAAAAGCATTAAAAAAATAATTTTGTAAATGGAATTCTGTAAAAGAGATTAAAAATTAGTTTTTAAAATGAATTTTTTTTTTTTTTTAAATGTACCGGGTGCGATGTATAAATTGTCGTCTAAATTGTGTGTGTGTGTGTGTGCGCGCGCGCGCACACACACACACACACAGGCAAAAAAGAAATGAAAATAACATTGACATCTCATATTAGCAGGTATATTTACCAAAATTACACAAAAATATCTTGAAATACTAAAGGAGTAAATTTAGTCAAAAAATCGCCATTGGCTTCAACCATGGCCTCCAAATGACTTCAGATTCTCCTACAACTCTTCTGAACGGTCTCCTAGTTTAAGTTGGTGAATGCTGCCATAATCTTTGCCTTCAGTTCATCTTTGGTGTTACAAGGTGCTTAACTGTGCCCCACACATAATAATGGGGGGGATGCAGTCTGGGGAGTTAGATGGTCAGATGTAAGAGGTGATGTGGTCACAGAAAATGTCTGACAGCCATGACTGGTTTCTCCTGCTTGTGTGGCATGGTGCAGAGTCCTGTTGCTAGATATAGGAGCCACCCTCTTGAGCCAGGGTAGTGCTATCTCTTCAAGGCACTTGATGTAGGCCTCCATGTTGAGTCTGAGGCACTCATCAACAAATTTGATTGTTCTTATCAGAGTGAGTTTTCCAAGTTGAGTACCTTCATAATCACCATTAGACTCCTACAACTCTTTCCAAATCCTCTTCACTGTCCTCAGATTGACACCCAAACACTCTCCAATGTTTGTATTGGAGCTTCTGGGGTGGATGCCAAGCAATACAGCATGCCATTTCCAAACTTTTGGCAGTGAATTACATTATGGTGCTCTTTTTCTCATTGACTGCCCAACAGACCCTACTATACTATGCAGTCAACAAAATCAAAAACAAACAACACGCATGTGTGAAATTAAAAATATAAAATGGCAGCAATTTACCCATTGCACCCTGTACATAAATATTAATCTGTACTGATAACATTGCTATTAAATTTGCCCCTTAAAAAAAAAAAAAAAAGAATGATCAAATCCTCTTTGTAATAGTAGTTTTAAAAAACAAAAGGGAAATAAGTTTGTAAGGATGTTCTGTATAGATTTTCGGAGCAGAAAATATTCTTTGTATATTTAAAGATAAAAATTTGCATTCAAAATTAGCACTACCATAAAGATGTGATAAGTTAATTGCAGATGAAACAAGTTGGATCAATTTTTTTTTTCTTTTCCATTAAATTAAGCTGAAATTTAGCATAGCAATGGTACATTCAGAAATATGTCTGTCAGCACATTTCAATTAGAGTAACTATTGAAAAGCTATAAAACATACATTTCTGATTTTCAATCTGAAAAAATACTTTATCTACTAATGTTTATCCACAAAGTTGTAAAGCAAAATAAACCATTTCAAGTGGAAGTTTTGTTTAGAATTTAGTTTAAATGAGTCTGTCTGAAATCTTTTTCTGTGCATATTGTTCAATGTAGAAAAAAAACTTTAGCGTAATTAGATAATGAATCTTTGCAGATGTAATATAAGATTTGTTTATTCCATGTCAGCAGATCAAAGATACTGCAATTTAAATTTGGTAGAACCTTGAATTAAATGCATGGCTGATAAACTTAAAAGAAACAGCAATTTACAGCTGGGGAAATCTTCAGCCTAGTCAGTCATGGATTGGAAGTGACCTGATTGCCCAAGCGTGTATCGAGTATGGCACTGACTGAACTTGAAAGTACATTACCCTTAATGTCTATTGTTAGTTTTGAAAACGGACTAGTTTTGGGGGCTAAAAAAAGTCATTTAAAATAGTTGAAGTTTTATTGATATGTAATGTGCACACTTAAAATGGTGCAGATAATATACAGATTAATTTAACCTGAGAAATGAAATCGCGGATCACTCGAACAATTAGATTCAGGTGTAAACAAAATTGTATTTTTTAGGCATACCACTATTGTATTTGCTAGTCAATATTTTTATTCTCAATTTAACCATATCAAATAGCAATTTATCTTTGCTCACTATGCCATATAATCTTAAAAGTAGGGACCTTCACTTTTTTTCGGCAAAATTTTCGATACCTAACTTTAAAATAAATTTTAAAAAATGAAAAAACATGCTTGAAGATTTCATTTTAGCTTTAATTGAAAGTTTAATCATTAAATATATTATTTCCATTAAGTAAACAATTCTGGTGTATTTCAGATAGAAACTATATACATTGGAATGTCAAATTTAGTTTTGGAATTTTAAATTTTTTTCTTAAATCCCGCTATTTTCTTAATTTTAAGAAATTTGTGGACAAACACAAATTTATCGATTTTAAAAATATTTAACAAAGTTTCTGACACGTTATTTTAGTAAAATTAGAAAATTTAATGTTAAATTAATCTGATTTAAAAGAATTATTACTTCTAGCATAAAAAAGTAGTATACAACCAATTATTAACGATTGGTACTGGTGTTTTTATCCAATATTTGATCTACGTGTTGAGTGACGAGTGACAACAGCTACTACAGATGACCACAAATGAAAATTATTAGAAATCTGAGTGAACGCTTTTTTTTTAGTTAGAATAAAGGGACAAAACTCTATTTATAATAATGGCAATAAAATTAGATAATTCTTTAAACTTTTTTTTTATTATTTAGATAATTCTTTAAACTTTTTTTTTTATTATTTAGATAATTCTTTAAACTTTTTTTTTTATTATTTAGATAATTCTTTAAACTTTTTTTTTTATTATTTAGATAATTCTTTAAACTTTTTTTATTAATTTCTGCAAACACGTTAACGATGTGTATCTGAACTGGACAGAGGAGAAAAAAATGCTGCGGTGCCAGACGACACAAATCGCATGACCTTTTTAAGGATTATGTCGCGTATACATTTCCATACATAGAAATTATGAACGTTTTTCAATAAAATTTATTTTTAAAATTATTTTAAAAATATTTTTCGTGTAAACGACTGTTATGTGCTTTTCAAAGTTCGATTTGTAAATTTACATTTTCATTAACGTTATCATTGCATTATGTGGGCGAAAGAAATAAAAAATTTTAAAAGATTTTTGAAGTATTTAAGACGTTAATGAAAAAATTTTTAAATGTGGAAAAATTTGCAAAAAAATACATTATTCATCGAAAAAATTTTATTTCTTCACAAAATAATGTCCTTAGTATAACGTATCTACAAAAACAGGTGGAAGCTTTTCTAATTAATTAAATGTCATACTTTTTTACATTTTTTTACAATTCAAATTTGATTTTCTATAAAACAGTAAATGTTTTACCAAAAAAAACTGGTGATTTACTTTCTACAAACATTCCTGTTTATAACTAATAAAAAAAATCCCGGGGGCGCAGATTTAATTTCTTGAAATTTCATGAAAATATGTAAGTGGGTGGAAACATGTTAAAAAAAAAAAAAAAATCTCTTTTTAACAAGATTTTCTGAAAAAAAAAATTTCAAAAATAATTTCATTCATTTCTGAATAAGTCCTGAAAATTTCATTAATTTGTTTTCGTTGATTTATGAGTCATTTTTAATCGTGATATGCCGCTTTTTTACGTGACCTAGTGGAGAGTCCTACTTAAATGTATCAGCCTCCATTCATTAAAATAGGTGATATAAATGGTGGCTCTTCACATATTGCAGAAACATACTTGAAAACTACTTTTATAAAATTATTTGAAGAAATATAGTTTTATTTCAATGCAAATTTCTACAAAGGTACATGGTGATAGGAATTGTACCTCAAAAATAATTTTTTAAGTATTTAAGCTGATGGGTAAAGTATTACTTGTAGGGATAGGGTTTCTGCTTAAAGGAGATAACACTGTATATTTATTAATTAGTCCCACCTCCTACAAATAGGAGTTGACATGCCGTTGAATCCAACATCCATCCACCTCCTACATTTTCTTAAGAAAAAACAAAAGCAATTTTAAAGTCTGCATCTGTTTGCACTTTTCTCAATCATAGTGGCATCTCAGTTAGTGTACAGCAATAATATTTAAAAAAGAAAAAATAATAAAGCTTAATGATAATTAGTATTTGCAAATAATTAAATGACACATTGGGGTTGATATGCCATAAACCAAACCAAACAATTCAGTGTGGCATCGAATGGAACAAGGTCCAGATTTTCTCATTGGAAATTTATTTCCAATTCTTTTTGGCAGTAATCCCAATAATCTTGGAGATGGCATCTTTTTCATTGGAACACCTGTTAATCCATTTCTCACCACAATACTTCAATTTATATCTTTGTGCTGGCCAGTCTTCCAAAGTTGAGCATCTTCAACAAGAAATCTTCTTTTTTTTTTTTTTTTTTTTTTTTTTTTTTTTTTTTTTTTCTTTGCACATGTGTGTGAATTGCACCATTATGTTGACAAATTTCTCCATTTTTGTAGTTTGGCAGAAGATTAGACTGTATTAAACTAATAGTTTTGCTGTTTAGGTTTCCATTAACTTTTATCAATTTCCTGCTACCATTGCTTTTGATGTAACCCCACACCATTGTATGTCCACCACCAAATTTTACCATCTTTGAGCTGTATCTTGCATTGTTTCTTTCTCCCACTGGTCTTCTTACATATTCTATTGCATTAGAATGGATCTCTATTTTTTATTCTTTACTAAAAATTACTTTTTGCCACTTTCTGGCGCGCAGTGGGTATGACGGTAAACTATGCCCAACAGCAAGGCCTCGGATAATGTTTTTGAAAAAATAATGTCTGCATTAAATGATCCATTGAGGTTGATATGCTGTAAAACAAACCAAACCACTTTCCAGCATCTTGTGTCCTTTTTCAATGTTCTATTCTGATGTTTTTAGCTAATTATTTTTTGCTGTTCAAGTTGTTGTTTTTTTCCGCTCTGCATCAACTGAAATGTTACTCTTAAGACTATTCAGTTCTCTGGCTGTTAAGTTTGGGATGCCTATAGAGTTTCACACTCTTTCGTTCATCTCTTTAACTTTTGTGGTCGTCAACTTTTCTTTGCACTTTCAGTAAGAGTAAAATGTCTTTTGGATGGTCACGACCTCTTTGTTTCAGCAGAAGTTTTATCCATAGTTTTAATTTATTTTTTTGGGGTTTTTTTTTTTAATTACAATGACTTGCCAAGGCACCTTACACTCATTTTAATAAAATAGAACAATTCCATATTAACATGACTTTATCATATCAGTTCTTCCATTAACCCAATTAACATAGCCTTTAACAGCTTCAAATTGTTTTAAAAAAAAAATGCATCTTCTGTTACATGAAACCTAAGAAAATGCAACAGCTAATTTTCAAATCTTCAAGGTCTGCAGACACCACTGATAAAAGCATATAAAAATAAAATAAAGTATATAATCATTTTATGTAGTTGGCCAAAAATATTTTCATGCCAATGTATGAGGTGTGATGCAAAAAATATGGGCAGGTCTTTTCACAATACATATTGATGTCATAGGTGTTTTGTTTACGTTTTTTTTATAAATGTATGCAAAAATTTGTATTAAATGCACAATTTTTGTTGTACTCCCTGTCCTATAATTACTACATATACATACCATTCTTAATGTTATGGCATTAAACAGATTTATTTGAATAAGTCTCCTCATATTGTTAATGTTTCATCTGTTGTATTTTCTACCTTTCTCCAGTTACCTGGTAACTTTGCCAAACTTGGGCCTATTCAATAATAATTCTTGTACTACATGACTTTAAATTAGATACCTCCACTTTTTTGTTAAAAAACAGTATAGCATGATAAAAACGGCCCCAAACTTAGTGAAAACAAAGTTTTATCAAAATGTCCGTTGTTATTATTAAGAGGAAAAACCAAAGTAATTTCTAATTATTTAAAAAAAAAAATTTTTTTTTTTTTTTATTCCTTTCTAACACATTCAAAATTTTTGTTAAAAATCTTTTCTTTTAATGCATCAACGGTGTACGGAAATTTTAGCACCTTTTTCACGTTAAAATAATGCATTAATTGGATTTTAATGAAATTTTCAGGACTTGTTCACAAATGAATGAATTTATTTTTGAAATTATTACACTGGGCAACAAAAAAACTTTTCTTTTTTTTTTTTTTTTTTAGTTGTCTTTTTTTTTTCCAAATAATTTAGGGCAATTTTTCACTGCTGAAACCAAAAATAAAAATGTTTTTCTCAATCAGGTCATGTTTTTGTGTTCAGTTTTTGAAAATCTTATCTGAAATAAATCAGTTACATTTTTGTGACATTATCGATTGAATTTTGTTAATATTTCTCATACAAAATAAGTTTTTAAGGGAGAGAAAAATTTTTCTAATACAATTAATTAAATGTTACTAAACAATTGCAATAATTTGAATAGTATACATTGATAAATGTATGTTCATGTAAATTGCTTCTTATGTCATCATTGTTCAAAATTCAGAACTTGAAATTTTGTTTATTCGAACCCTTAGAATCATGGTTGCCTCTTTTCAAAGTCCAGCAGTAATCAGCCATCATGACTGCATTCCATTGTCCCTGATACCTGGTCTCCATCTCTTTCATGTCCTGATAAAATTCTCTCCCTATTCGTCACTCATTGATTCTAGATTCTTAGGAAACCAATCCACATGTGAATAAATAATGCATTTTGATGCTCATATTGCATCCAAGCTTTCTGAAAGCAGTCAGCATATTGATGACAAGTTCTGTGTAGTTCCTGGCCTTGTTGTTGCCAAGAAAGTTCTTCTCAACCCGAACAAAAGCCTTCCATGCTTCCAGTTCCACTTCACACATTGAGTTTTCAAATTCTGGATCTCTGATGAGCTGACAGATTTGAAGACCATCAAAGATAGCAGCTTTCAACTCTTCAATCCTAGAAAAGCCTGACGCAAGTAAGTTAAGCAGCCACTGTCCTTGTCCAGAGATTGAGGTGAACTGCTTGATCAAGCCAAGCTTGGTGTGCAGCGGTGGGGAAAGTGTCCAGTCTCTGTCTGCCAGAGGCTTATTGATAACATTCGTTGCTCTGCAAGGCAACAATTCTTCTCGAACAGGCTAGCCCTTTTTTGTGTAAGTGTCTCTACTATCCCACATACACAGAAAGCACTTGTCATTGGTGAACTCTGGCTGTTATCCCAACAAAAAGTTCACCATCTTCAGGTCAATGCAAATAAACCAGTCATGCTGATCATAATGAATTTTCTCCAGCACATATTTCACTGCTTCATATTTCTTGATCAGTGTAGTCGAGTGAGCGAGGGGTACAGAGGCAAACTGGTTGCCATTGTGCAGCAGAATACTTTTTGTGATCGCTTGCTGCTGTCTCTAGGTTTGTACTGTGGCACTCCAATTTTGTGCAGAAGCTGCACAATATCTGTACAGTACACCAAGCCTCTTCTCTTCAGAGAAAAAAACAAAAAACGGAAACTCTTCACACCTGTTGCAGTAGAAGGTGTCAGTTTTTTGGTTTTATTTTATTTTTATTTTTTTTTTTCCCCCCTTTCCAATCTGCATGCCAGCAATTCAGCAGAGGACTGATGCTGAGTCTGCAAACTAGATCATCTAGTTCCTTTTAGGGGAAAAAGGATGTGGAGCCTCATTGTTGATCAGCAGCAGTTAGTGACATCTCTCTTAGAAGAATCTGAGAGACAGTGTCGTGATTTATTTATTTATTTATTTTTTTTTTTTTTTTAAATACTGTTATTCCTAAGAAATTGGCTCCTGAATTATATAATTTTACTTATTCCTAAAATTGACTTAAAACATCACATGGTATACTTGCTACTACATCTGTGCAATATTTTGATGGTATACCTAAATGATAATGACCAATAAAACAACCTTTCTGATTTCTATTCTATGGTTTTGTATTATACAGTCTTAATTGAAGTGTTTTGAGATGTAAGAACATTGTGTTTTAATATTTATATAGCTATTTTTGGCTGAAAATATTTCTGATGGCTTAAAATTAAGTTTATAATTAGCTGTGTGTGAAATATGTTGCATATTTAGATGTTCTAATGGACATGAGAACAAAAATGTGTAAAACGGCATGTGGCTATAGCTCAAAGTTGACCCAAATGATCAAAACCAATGTAATTTTTGGATTCAGCACATCAAAATGGTCATAAATCAGCTAAAAAAAAAAAAATTTTGTTAATACACTTGCTGACTAGTGTTATTTTTAGGAAATCTTGGCTTTTTTTACATCTGTTACACAACACCCACTTAATTTCATGAAAATTCTGGAATTTAAATTCCATCCTCTAAATTTTTATTAGTTAAATGCAGGACTCCTTGGAAAATGTAATTTTTTTTTTTTTTCTTTTTTCTTTACAAGCTCCTGAAAATCTGCTCTGAATTGTAAAATAAAAACTGCAATAAAATGACATTATTTAATCATATAAGCTTTTAATTGCTTTTATAAATAATATATATTAAAGACATAGTCTGAAGGAAAAAAAAACAAATTTTTACAATAATTTTTTTTTTTTTAAATTATAATAATTTATATACTTTCAAAAAATCTTTTAAAAATTATATCTTCCTCTTCGTTAGGTTAAGTTAAGTGAAGACTATATTTACTAAGTGAAAATTGAAAAGCTTAATACAAGTCACACAGCAAGTTTTTTAAAATAATTTTTTTATTGAAAGCACGACTGACCATACAAAAAATTATCAGAAAATAAGATTGATGACTATAGTAAATTTAACATCAACATTTCTAAAATTAGAATAAAGAATATTTCCAACATTCTTAAAATTACTGTGTACTTAAAAAAAATTATATAAAAAAGTGTTCACCCATCATTTTCTGAAATTGTTTTAACAGAAGTCTGTAGAGCAACAATAAAACTGTCAACACCTTATCAGTACTTGTTAAGTGATTGACTAGCAATAAAAAACACGTAAATTGCTTGTACTATTTTTTTTTTTGAAAAAATTCTTGTTATTTTCAACTTCAAGCAAATAATATTTTTTCAAATCTGATTAATTATACTTTAAATCAGCTAATATTCCTCAAATAAAGTTTCAGGAAAGTATATTTTATTTTTGGAAGATTTTTTTTTTTATACATTTTGATGAAAGACCTTTAAGATAGGTCTTTCATCTATTCAGCTATTTTACAAAAAAATACAATTCCAATCAATATAATTTCTCTTTGAAATACACCAGGGTATTTTGCTTACTGGAAATAATAAATTTAATGGTTTAGCTTTCAATTAAAGTTAAAATGAAAGTTTTTCATTTATGAAAATTTATTTTAAACCTTACCGAATTAGTGGAGGTACCTACTTTATTTATTTTTATTTTCTAAATTGATAACTTTATTATTTTTATTTAATTTTTTTATTTATTTTTCAGTAAGCGCAGAGGTGCTATCAATGCAAAACAGCTGCAATGGTTAGAGCATTACCGTCCAAAGTCTCGCTTAAAGATAAAGAATGCTCACAAACAATGCTGCATCAACTGAGCAACTTAGGTTTTTAGTCTCCTGGCTGCTCAGTCTACATTCAGCCTGCTACACAGGTACTATTATAAAAAAAAAACTGAGCTTAAAGTGATTATACACTCTTAATGTACAGTCTCTATTTCTCTCCTTAATTCACCTCTGAATTCTCTCTCTCTCTCTCTCTCTCTCTCTCTCTCTCTTCCCTAAGTTTTTTTCCCAATGTTTCAACTTCACTGTTTTCACATTTTGTTGTTTTTCTTTTATTTTTTTAATTTCCTGGTAAACTGTTGATTCTAGTGGTCTTTAACCTGTTTTTATTTTATATAAGGAACCTTTGTTTAATCCAATATATATTTTCTATCCTTATCATTATGCCGCTTGTCTGCAGTGATTACAGGAGTTTCAGTTATTTTCTTATATATATATAAATACATATATATATATATAAATACACACACATACACTTAAATTATCTTTAACTCGGCCCTAAATTCAAAGCATTCATCATATTGAATAATCATCATTCACTGCTGATCTGGCAGAAAGTTTTAACTTGATTGCTGATTGGTTTGTCTGAAGTTAAGATTTTTTAACCTTCAATACTTTAAATCTCCCCTCCCTGTTTTTTTTTTTTTTTTTTTTTTGGGAGGTGGAGGATTTGGGGTTTTTTTTTTTTTTTTTTTTTTGCCTTTTAAGTAAATAAACTTTACAGAAAAATAAACTGAGTGGGAGAACTTAGTTTTTTCTTTCCTTTTCTTTTTTTTTTCCCCCCCCCACTCTTTTTATAGATTAATTAAATTTTCATGTATATATTTTTTGTTTTATTCATTTGTTTTATTTCTGATTATGGCTTCAGTATAAAAATGCATGTGTATATAATTTTTCTTTTATTTGTGTGAAATATGAGAAACGTACTTTGGTATTTCCAATGTAACATTTTGTGATGGTGAATACAGTGTAGATCTTAACAGCAGGTGTCTCAAAAAAGTTTTAAGTTTTGGTGAGATGAAAATAGTTTCTGTAATACATTCAAGTAGGTGTCAGTTTATTCAGTACTGACAATCTGCCTCTCCTCTGACAAAAACAAAATATTTACGATTATTTAAAAACAAAAAAATTGAGAAAATTTAATTAGGACATAAAAGAACTGAAAATTATTCTAGAAGGAAACTTTTATCTGCTCGTTATAGTATACATTTGAGTTGTACTTACTACTTATATTTTTCTCTCCAGTTTCAACAACATCATTAATTAAGGTATAATTACAGTGAGTGAAGGGTGAAAAAATTTCTTCAGATTTTAATATTGTCTTAATATGTGCTTTCTTTAATGTCATCCCCAAGGTAACATACTGAAGAGAAGCATTTTTCTCACTCAACTTTTCTGTCTCTTTTAAATTTGCTAATGCTTATAACATCTTTGAGTGGGCAGGTGGTCAGTTTTTGTCTGGGCAATTTTATCCTTTCATTTTCTTTTATCCATCCATACCGAAATCCCCCTCCTCCTCCTCCTCCTTCTGCTGGACATTCCATCAGTTCAGAACATGTTTATGTAGACTGCTACCGTTTTAACTAGTGCCTTTCTTGAATAAATCTTATAAAGGTGGACTTTAATGATATGCTGCCCTTTTTTTTTTCTTTTTTTTTAAATCCTTAATTTTATTTGTTACATACTAAAATTTGTGCACTATATTTAAAAAAAAAAAAAAATGCAGACAGTATTTACATTTGTTGTGTAAAAATGACTTCTCTGGAAGAGACGCACAAATTTATATAGCTAGTCTTTTTACACTGCTCAAACTGAGGAAAAGAGGTTTTCTTTTTGTCAACATTTGAGTTCATTAATATCTTACCATTATCTATTTTCACAGCATTTTGATCAGTGTTCATTGCTCAAAAAGTGAAAATAATAGTATAACAGCTTATATAAAGTATTTTAATTTCCTTGTAGATAAAAAAAAATCAGATTTTTTCTTTTGTTTTTAATGGGGGCAAAAAAATTGCTTCAAAAAGATTTACTGTCTTCACTTCATCTATTGATATATCTACATGTATCATTTGCATTGTTACATTATTCCAAATGGTGTTTCCTATTCTGAAAAGAACCATCCACTTTCAGTTTTTCTAAACTGAAGAAAGTTGGATACACTTTGACAACTCTAAGTTAACTCTGAAAATGCACCATTTGGTTCCCAATGTAAACTTAGTTAAAGGTGAATGTTAAAAAAAAGAAATGCTTAAAATCTAATTCTCTTAAATTTAACCTATTTGTGTAAATATATACATTTTAGCCAGACAGACCAGGCAATCATGCTGAAACTTCTCTGACAGTTCTGATTGTTTGTTTTGTATATTATTTTTTCATTAACATTCAATCCACTCTCATTTTCCACCAACCAAAAGACCATGTATCTAATTTATTTTATTGATAACTGAATCATCATCTAGTAGTGTTTTTACTCCCTGTTTCAAAATAAAAAAATATTACCACTGTCAGCTGTCACCTATTTATTCCACCCCTCTCTCCATCTACAACTCTTCTTAAGAATCAGTTTTTTTTTATTCTTTTTTTTTTTTTTTTTTCTTTATGGGCTTGGACTCCTCTCTCCCTATATAATGTGTGCTTTTTATTTTATTTTTTTAATAAAGTTGTGGAAAAGTTAAATGGTGAAGTTCCTCAAAACTAAATGAAATTTTTGTACATCCAAAAGACAAATCAACTACTGCAATATTTTTTCTATAAAATTAATTTCTGGGGTGTTTCAAGTATCCAATGAAATGTTTAAAAAAAAAAAAAATGCAGATAAAGTATTTTTGCAACACCTCCCTCCTTTCCTCTCTCTTCTCTCTTTCTCTCTCCCTTGCTCACTACTTCCTTCCAATCAACTTGATGACTCTCAGGTAAATAAATCCTATTTCTAATTCATTAGTCTTAAAACTTCTTTCTTCACTGTTTTCCCAAATATTAAAAAAAAAAATTGTTAGCTGCCCCTCCTTGTTCTCTCTTCTCGCTGCGCACACACACACACACACACACACACACACACACACACTCACTCTGTTGAGCACAAATTGGATATACTGTAAAGCTTGAGGGTAGTGGGGTGCTTCATTTGAGCCTTGTTTCTACTTTGCCTCTTAGTGCAACTTTACAAATGGTACATGCTGACATGTCATATCTTGCTTTATTTATTTGTGGGTCCCTCTCCCTAAACTCATTTGTGCAAGCATGTCAGCTTTCCTTGTTCTGTGTGTTGTCACATGAAGATCTCTCTGGTAAGGCTACATGAAACAATTTACTTGGGAGTCGTGGGGAGGGGGGGTCGTATTTCCATTATCTTCAATGCCAATGCATCAAAGCTAAGATCTGTATATATAATTAAAAGCAATTTAAAGAATATAAGGTGATTATGTAGGATTTTCATTTTGCATAATTAATTCAAAATACATATGGCAAGAAAGTAACCAATGATAGAATTCAAATGGCCTGATAGTAGGTTGAAATTCTATTTCCAGCTATTTTACTAATTTTTGCAATCTATATTAATATATGGGAGTAATCAAGTGATTAAACATTTTTAACATTTTAAAAATGAGGGAAAATACATTCAAAAACTTCCCTTTACCATCATTTAATGTTTCTCTTCCACTTCAGTTAGATAATCAATGTAAGTGGAGACAACCAGTTACCATGTTTATCCTGTGTCTAGCTGCTATGTTTTATCTTGGCATAAGCATTTTGGAATTGAATTCCTATTCTGAATGTTTGCTGCTGTTGGTTTCAACAGATGTTTCCAATTCTTAGCCATCAAACAATCATATTTTACAAATGTGTATGCTTTTTTACATTTACTTGCTCTTTCTTTATTCTGTCTTGTATAGGCTTTTTTCTTTTAATTACCACACTAGAAAAAAAACAGCTATCAGGCAAACATTGAAGAAATAGATATTGTTTTCTTCAAAAACTTATTTAAGGGCCTTTTGCAGCATATTGGTTAATAAATATTATGCAAAGGCTTTAACTTTTGATCATTGGGAGTTAATTTAATACTTGTTTTCTTGTGACATTAAACACAGACGATTTTTCCATTCCCAACTTCTCCTCTTCACCATTGAAGATAGTTTAGTTCTAATAAAAGAAAAATTTAAATAACTTTTATTCTTTTAACTTCCTAATATTTTCTGAAATACTTTTGAGAAGGGAAAAAAAATGAAAAGGGCATAAAATGTTAAATATTCTGTTGCTAAGCAACAGTTTAACTGGGCTTAAATGAATAGTTTCTAACCAGTATGTAAACATCTAATGATTGATCTGAACTCATCCAGTTATTGTATATGCTGTATCAGCCCAACTGACACACCACTACCACCATATCTTGTGTATTTTCTTTGGTTGAGATTATTGCTTCACTTTCATTTTCCCCCCCTTCCCCCTTCAAGATAAAATGATCATTTAAAGAATGATATTGATTATATCATTTTCTTATGATCTTATAAATTAAGTCAGGAATATAACAGAAGCTTCACAGGTAGGTGTAAGGGGATACAATAAATGATATTTTGAGAATGATTTAAAAGCATTAGAATTGGAGGAAAACAAATATTATATAATGGTTCCCAATTCCTCCACTCAAAATATACCCATAGAATAGCTTGCTAATATTCTGTATTTTACCAGTGGATGTTTCAATTTAGATTATTCCAACTAGCATATTAAGTTGTCTTTTTCTTTTCTTTTTTTTTTCTTTTCCTTTTCCTACCTACTCTCATCTTTAAGAGTGTATAAGAGTGTAAGCAGGCATTATAATTCTTTCTCAATCTCTAATGTATAAAATTGGACATAAACGCAATTTTAAAGTATAACCTGTTTATTTTCTAATAATACAAGATAGTGCATTGCTTTTTTTTTTTTTCTTTTTTTTTTTTAATGCAATACCCCCCCCCCCCAAAAAAAAACTGCCTTAAAAAGGTTAAAGCCAAAACTCTTTCTTCCTCTCCTTCTCTATTCACTTATCCCTTTACTTTCACAAACTATAATGTAAATAAATTCTGTTCCCTTCCCAGACTCTGGGCTTTTGAAGACAGCCTGAACATTAATAAAATGCATTTTAAACAAACTATCTAATAAAGTAACAGATGTGGCAAATTATTCCCTTTTGACTTCTAGAGGTACTGCTATTTTTGTGGTGTTGGGGACAAAATAGGCCCAACTCTTTCTATCTTATCCACTCTAATTATTTTCTTTCTGAAAAGCCCACCTAACTAGATGGGACCTTAACTGCAATGCAATTCATGATTATACAAGTATTACAAGCAGAATTCCACCGGCAGTCTTTCTCTTTCAGGGATGGTCATCTACAGGCTACCCTGCCCACCCCTTTCTCCACCCCTACCACCACTCCACATGAAATGAGTTGTAGTGCCTCACGAGAGAAATCTTTTTGACAAGGTGGCTATCATGTGAAATTATTGCCGACATTGACAAGGGGAAAAAAATCTTCTGTTACCAGAGTATTTCAGAAATAAAAGTTGTCAGATAGAAATTACTATTTTGTTGTTATTTTATTTTTTTTATACACACTTTAAAATTTAAGTTTTCTTCAGATTCTATTTAAAAAAATATGAAGAAAAACTTATTTATGCTCAATTATGAATGTGGATTTTTTTTTACTTCAGTTATAAGAATGAAATTTGTTGAAATTGGAATCCTGAAAATGCAACATTGTTCTAAAGAAATTTGATTTAGTCTTTTTTTTTTTTTTTTTTTTCCTATTTGGTGTCCAAGAGAAACTGCATGATGTTCACAGCTGGAAAAAGAAAAAAAAATTTAGTCTGATAAAAATTCTATATATACGAGGAAGAAGTTGATCATGGCAATCTTTATTTAAGCCATGACTCTTGTTTTTTTTTTTTTTTTTTTTTTTTTTTTTTTTAGCAAACCAATTATGCTGACAAGGCTGATAAAAGTATTTAATGGAGAACCATATGGCTTGTCAATATCTTCTGTCAGTTGACAGAAAAGCTGTGCATGATTAAAAGATACAATTGCTCTATGACTAACTTTTCTTGGCCACACTAGCAGATCTGTTATTAAAAGAATGGTTTGTAACCAAGAGTTTTCAGTCAAGTTATCATAGGATCATCAATTAACAGATTTAGAAAGTATTGCCATACAGAGCACCCAAGAGGAAAGATAGAAAATTATAGTGCATGTCATGACCAGAAATGGAGGCCTATCTCAAATCTCGTTTCCTGGGAGTGATTTGATTTTTTTTTTTTTTTTTTTTTTTTTTTTTTTTATCCGAGTTTACTGTAGTTGGCTTAAGGAATTTGTTTTTTACATTTGGGATATTTAGTTTATTGGTGTAAATATAAAATTTGATATTTTATACTACAAAATTAATGAAAAATTAAGAACATTACATAAAGTGAATGTCATAATTAAATTCATTAAAATTAATCCCATGTTTTCAGATATTTTAAATGAGGTATACAAAACGAACTCAGCCTGCTACTGACTCACACATTTTTAAGTCAATAAAGTGTTACTTTCATGATTATTTTGATTCATGTCATGTTTTTGTTCCATAGCTCTGATATGGTTTTTGTGTAAATGTGGATAATTAATTCAAAGATTAAAATGCAAATGGCATTTCATACACCCTTGTTAACATGGAAGTGATGGATCTGAAGCTCCATTAATTATATATTATTTGTAATAAGACCTTAGTAACTATATATATATATATATATATATATATATATATATTTTTTTTTTTTTTTTTTTTTTTTTTTTTTTTTTTGTAGATCTTATAGTCATTAGAAAATTCCTAACTCTTCTCAAGATATTACAAGTTGAAATTTGAATCAGCATTTTCCATTGACAGATTTTCATTTTCTAACTCAAGGATTGCACAAAACCCTTATATCTTCTTAGTGAGAAATTAATGAAATTTGTTACGCTTATAGATTTTTAGTCAAGGAATCTAAATATCCATTTAGGATTTTACAGGGAATTACCAAAAAGTCAGTATTAGCATTTTTCTGGTAAAAAAATTAATATTTTTAGGCAGACAACCATGGAAAAATTGAAAGATATCTTCAGCCCCTAAAAGTAGCAAAAGGTGACACATTTGAAATCCCAACAAGTTTCATTGTCTCAAAGCTACCAATTCTAAACCTCAATAGTTTTTTTTCTCAAAAATTCTGATTCTGGGTAATTTTGCGATTATGAGGTCCATAGGTAACAAAACATTACATAGTATTTAGGGAATTTATTCCCTAAGTTTTAACAACACTTTTTATTTCAATTTTATGGATGTTTGAATATGCATTGCAAAAATAATAAAAGAATGAAAATTTAGCCCATCTATACCCCAAAAGCAAAATTTTGCATATTGCATCAAGATTTTAAAAGCTAAGAGAAAGATCTAAATTTATAATTATTATTTTTAAGCGGAGTGCAAGATAAGTCATTTGAGATAAAAAAAAAAAAAAAAAAAAATTAATAAAAAGTACTTGAATGAGCTATATAGACTTTATACTTTCAATACAATGTCTGGAGTTAAGATGGCACAATATGTTATTAGGATCCCAGTATACATCTTCATATCTTGGCCAAAAAAAAGAATTTGCTGATCCATGAGGATGTCAAAACTGTATTTTTAAATCCCTTTGTACAGTGTCAATTTCAAATGCTAGATCAACACATCAAAAACTATCATAAATGCATGCAACATAATCCATTATTTTAGAAGTTTTTGCATAAGATGATTCTTGACATGAATTTGATGATTTGATCACAACCAAATCTTTTGTAGAAGTTTCTTCGGAAGATCCTATGTCATTGGCTTGATAAAATTTGCTGCATTAATGTTAAACCATTATCTTCAAGCTTTTTGGGCAAATGCCAAAGACACAGAACACCTACAGGCTAAAAATATTTTCAAAATATGATGCTTTTTCTTTTTTTTCATATTGCAAGACATCTTTTTTAGGAATTTTATAAAAAAAAATACCAACATAATTTCCTTGATCTTTTTTTTTTTTTGTTGCATTAAATTTAAGAAATTAAATATACATATTGGTTCCATATATTTTGCTAAGCATTATCATTTGATAATTAGAATTATCAAAATGACTATGCTTAATTTAAAATTAGCCATTCTAGAAAATGTTTCTGACACAAATAAGTACATACTTTCCAAGTCATCTCAACAAGACAACAATACCTGAAACTTCCAAAGAAACTGACAAATAACTATAAAGGAACACTACACAGACAAAAATAATGTAAAAACATCCATATTTATCTGTATAAAGGTTTTTCCATTAATCATTTATGTTTTAATAAATAAATTTGACTCCTGTGCAAATGGCATACGACTCCAGACAAAAAAAAGTGTAATCAACGAGAAAAAAAATAATCACCTTTTAATTTTCTTTTGTGATAAATGGTTTGCAGCAATTTATAGCATTTTTCTTGAACTTCTTTATGTAGTAGTTACTGTAGTTGTATACATTTTTATATAAGAAATTGCCACCAGAAATTTCTCTACGCCCAGTTACAGAGCCTTGACTAATTCAAGCCTAATGTTTGTTTTTAGAATCATTAAATGTAAATTATATCATCTTTCCTAACTTAGCATTGTTTTGGGTGTTAGATTATACTTACTTTTCAAGTTTATACGTTTAGAGAAATTTGCAAAGAAGGTCAGTGCTTGAAAATTCTGATAAAAATCAGTTTTTTTTATTTCCAGATCTTCAGTGTAAACATGGCTGATTCATGTAATATTGGAATTTTGTTGTGTAGCACAGATTTATGTTCAAAGTCTGTAAGGAAACTGGATAAGTTGTTTGCTAACATTTTTACCTCTAGTTGCACAATAAAATTGTTTAGAATACCACTACCAATTTAGTTTTTTGCTAAAGAAATTATTTAAAATATTCTGACAATCTTGCCTTCATTATTTTCCTTAGCAAGCATCTGAATCCCCAGCCTCCGCTTTTTTACCTGTGGCCCATGGTTTCTATAAACAAACAAAATGTGAAGCCAGACAAAAATCTAATCTCTTAACTGCCATTTAGTTATCACCACATATCATCTGCTATCATCACACATCAGCTGACTAACATAAATAAGTAGCAAACCATTTCATTTTTAATCTTTTGGACCATAATGATAACTACCTCTGTAATCGTACAAGACCCTTCCCGGTTTTCCAAGACTTCCAACACCACAGCTGATTGATGAAGATCGCTTCAAACTCAGAGCTGTCCTATCCCATGTTGTGATTTAAGTTTGATCATAAGGAGGCCAGGATTGAATCATCGCAGTTATCTTCGTGTTGGGATGGTCCAAGCAGGGCAAAGATGTACAGAGAAATAAAATTACACTTGAATAAATTGAACAAAAGTATATACTATTTTTATATCAGTCCTCCATACAATAATTGGTTTATATCGGAGTTTGCATGCAATTAATTATCAACCCAACCCGCATGTAAATCGGAAGTGATATTATTGTTGCCGACTTGGTAAACTTTGGTACAAGGATGAAGTCAGAGACCTTCGTCAGCAGATAATCACGTGGGCCTCTCTCCTGTCTCTGGTCATGTCTCCATCTCTTTTGCCTAATTCGCTTTGAGTGTTTGTATTTATGGACATTTGTCCAAATTGGGATGAGGGTATGACAAGGTAAGAGCATTTTGGTGAATCCCCTCCAGCTTACGTCATAACTTTGGAGAACTCCCTCTCTCCACCCTCTTTTTTATTATCCTCTCTCACCAACCCCTTCAGTGAGCATAGGTGGTTCCTCCATCCACCTTATCTGCAGCTGCTACCTCAACCATTTTCTGTCCAGGAAAACTCAATTCCATATTCAGTTGTTTACAAAATCTACTTTTTTGCTTTACAGCTCGCATTTGCAACTGTGTGTCAATCAACATTGCCCCCTAAATCAGGGTCACTTTTCCATTGTTTAAACTACTCAAAATACAATTCAAGTTGTTTACGTGTGAATTAAATCCTCAATTCTTCACATGGGTTTTTGGCATTAACCCTTCTCTTTTCAATGTCTCAGTATATAACACTTTCTTATATTTTAACAAAATGTTCTTCTGTTTTACCGTGGCAACAATGAATAGTGTCACACCTCTACTTTTTTTTTTAAAAATCTATGGATATCATTAAAATTGTAGTACTGACAAATGTAAACATTAAATATTACATTGTATGTTATCAGTAAGAAGGGATTTTTAAAATGATAATTATATTTGTATATATGGTGCTAAATTTTGCTACAAATGTACATGTTAATATCTAGAAAATCAATTAGAGGGTGGGTTGGTATGTTTTTTGAACATGTCAATGCATTTAATTCAAATGCTGAATTCAGTAGATACAGGTGAAAATTTCAATGAACACAATCTTTTCTTTAAATACTG